TTTTATTACATTAACTTCCACAATTAGAGTACTTTTATAAAATAATAACCCCCAAAAATATGCATCGACAGATTATTACTTGTTTTGTTGTTATAAGTTTCATACTGAATTGTAGTAAAATCTGTTTTGGCTGACAGCATTCAACTTTATAGATGAAATTCCAAATTGAAATACAGTCAACCCTATTATAACGCGATTAAATGGTTGTAAGCTATAATAAACTCAGAAGTAGTAAAAAGTGAAAGTAATTCCTTTCATAAGGAGGTTTTAATGTCCAACTACCCATTGGGTGTCACAAACGAGTGCCAAACCGCTTTACAATTCTTTCCCTTTATTATTCAAAATAAAATAAAAAATCCATGCCAGGATTTGAACCCAGGGTCTCTAGCGTGACAAATACAAGTCAGACACCCTAACCACTCTGCTACTGCACTCCGTTTCAGAGGATTATGAAATAAAATCGTACATATACATAAGGCAAGATGCAATAGGGGCAAGTAAGGTTCGTTGTTGCACTGCAACCTAGATCTGTTGTGGAACCCCTATGATTATGTCTATACCGTACTTTTGCCACAAAACTAAGCACTTTTTTCAGTGTCTCTTGATGGTTCTCGTGGTGTGAGAATTGCCTTACTGAAGTGACTGTTACGTATTAGGTCCAACTATACAGGTGGGTATTTTGAAGTTGCTGTTTATTTAAATGTGTTGGATTTGTGCCATGTTCAGTGAGAATTCAGTACAAGGTGGCTGTATACAAGCTAGTGCCTCATATTCACAAAGGATATGTGTGAGTGCCTCCGGTTTCTCTTGACAGAGTTGGCATGTGTCTGTCTCTGTTTTATCCATCTTTTTTATGTAGTTGTTAAGTGGTATATAATTTTACTGAAATCCTGATTGCTGGGAGAGTGGCGTATCTTCACTATCCTTTTTCAGACATTATGAATCGCTTATCTTGCCTCAGATTTTTGTCATTTGTCCAGTGCTTGATTGTTTTCTTTCTCAAGCCATTTTTCCAGCACCAACTTTAGCATACTCTTTGGTGCACCTAGTTAGTCCACTTCTGTGCCTAGTTGATCAGTTTGTTTGTTTCCTTCTATAACTTTATGTCTTGAAACCTCAATTGTGTTTTCCTAGAGCCATTAGGCAATTTAAACATTCCCAGACAAGTTTGGAGCTAATAGCATATTTTTTACTGCCTTTATAGCTGCCTGACTGTCTGAAAATAGATCAAATTTCATTTTCTTCTTTATCAACTTGTGTGCATGGAGTTGGATTGCATGGATGTCAACTTGGAAAATAGTCAGAACCTCTCCAAGGGGTTTTGCTAGGGTTTCGGCCCATTTACCTCTTTACCTACTACCTGTTCCATCTTAGATCCATATGAGGGCTTTCTGAAACTGGGTTCCCTTTCTTCCAAAGATCTGTTTTTTATGACCACCAGGAAGAGTCAAAGTTTTTTGTTTTGTTTTTGTGGCCTCGTTGTTATACATTAGCCAACGAACCGATTTCGAGGGCCGTGCATCCACCAGAAGCCAGACGCCACCAACCTGGCCGCAGCGAACGAACAGGGAATGACAGGGCTCTTCTCTCATATTCTCAATCTTAAAGGCCTAATTTTAAATCCATTTCGAGGGACCGTTTTGGAGATGTGGATAAAAACCTTACATCGAGATATGTGGAAAAGTCCACATCTCCCAATCCCCCGGAGCCAAACTTGCTCAGGGAGCCCTACCAACCCCACCCACCCACCGCAGACAAGCCAGCCGCGCCCAGCCCCCGACGGACACAGCCCTCCCTAGTTAAGACAAGGGACTCATTTCAAATTTTCATGTTACACTTATAAACAAAATCTAGGAGATGTCCATATATTACACTGTTGTTTAAGGCTAAAAGAGACTTATAGTTTATGGGTTTGGCCACTTCCTTCATACCGTATAACCTATCCAAAAAATAGTTCCTCTCAGTTAAGTACCCTGGACATATCATGATCTTATGTTCTAAGTCCTCAGGGATTTTGCAGAATTTACATTGATCGTTCTGCTTTTGATTTATTTTATGAAGGTAAATTCCACAAATTCCATGATTAGACCTAAGCCTATTTATAATTGTGATATCCCTCTTGGAAAATGGAACATTTTGAAACCAAGGCTTTTTGGACAACTGAGGTTTTATAGAAGAGTAGAATTTTCCGGTTTGTATACTTTCACTATACTTCTGCCACTTTATCCAATTTTGGGTCTTAATTGCACTTTTTGCATCTTGCAAAGGGAGGGTGATAGGAGATACTAAGAGTCAAAGTTAAGTTTTCTTTTTTTATAGATGTAGGTTTTACCGTCTCAAGCCATTTTTCCAGCTCCAACTTTACACTCCTGTGTGCCTGGTTGTGGTTCATGTGAGAGGGTTGCCCTATTTTGCTAGTTGGTCAGACTTTGTTTTCTTCTATACTTTATTGCTTTTACCCTAAGAGCAACAGGAGGGAGTGAGGTGCCTTGTGCTCCCTGACGAATCATGGCAATGAGAGGACTGGTTCCTAGGGGCTCGATGATGGGAACGGAGAAAAAGGTTCTACAGAACTCGAGATGAAGGGGAAAATAGACCTTTCATATAAAACAAAGATGAGGAGGCGTTTCTCATCTAGAGGAAATAAACAAAAACAAAGCAAGGCAGAGAGGAGGCTAGAGATAAAGCAATATTGACTAGGAATAAGGGGTAATTATTATAGGTATGGTACTTACACATGGGAGAGGTGTTCATGAGGGCGATGGAGAAGGCTTCTCCATCCTTGCCCAGTAGGAAGCCCTTTTTATAAATGCCCTAGCAAAAACAGGGTACCTCCTACTCTGGTCTTTCAATTCCCTTCCTTGCCTTCTCACACCTTTTCCAAGAGAGGATCTGTCATCCCGACATCACCACAAAGGGAAAATTGTAGCTCAAAGGAAAATTTTTTATTTGTTTGGTGATGGCGCTTTTGAAAAAAGCACCTTCCGTTTGCTCAGTTTAGAAGTTGAAATTTTTTATTTGGAGGATAAACTGCTCTGGTTGTCCATCAATTGTTCATGGCCAAATTCAAGCTTTTCAAACCCCACTTTCAACACAAGATGCAGAGCAGCTGGATAGTGTTGGAGCAGCGAGTTCCTCAAATGGTGCCTTAGAAGAATTTATTGAATTGTGATTTTTTCCTAAAACACAATGTGAACGACCTACCTTTCAAAAGATTTATGACTAGAGATTTAAAGGGACTTAACAATATTAAGTAAGGTTTTTAGTTGAGATAAAAAAGTCAATGTCACGAGCGGGATTCGAACCCACGACCTTCGGCTAGATACGCCGCTACTCTACAACTTGAGTTATCGTGACCTCGATCCACTCAGACACTAACTTCCCATCTCAACCCCACCTTTTGAATTTTCCTTCCTTTTTGCCATTTTTAATTGGTCAAGCGGACCACGAAAACTAATGAATATTATTAGGGGAGAAATAATCCTAGTGAAAACACATCAACCCACTGTTACCAAGTCCAAAAGCCAGATTATCCCAAGAATGTGCATTTGGTTGGAAGAGTTTACAGTTTTATTAGCTTCTTCTGCCCAAAACTGTAAATTCTGCACACTGAGTTATTAGAAGTCAGCAATTGAACAAAAACCTCTAGCATTGACTAATCACAAGGGGATTTTTTGTCACTAATGTGATAAAAGAGGGCTATTGCAATTTTTGTCCGGGTTATAAGAGTGCCAAATAGGAGGGTTGACTGTATATTCAATTATTCCAGCTTATAAATCATAAACATCTATCAATATTTATAAAACAAACCAACCATCTGAGCATTTAAGAAAGTTGATATGAGTGTTTGAGTTTTTAACTCCCCCAAACAATTCAGGAAAGATTTAGCAAAAATCCGCTGTAAATTATTTGAAAATTTGAATTTCAGTATGCTAATGAGTTTAATTTCTTTTAATTTAAAAGGATTATGTTATAAAATAAAAAAAAATTATTAAAAATCTGCTGTAACTTAGTGAATAGTGTGGGTGTTTGTGTGTATGGCCTGACCGGATTCATGCACATGTGTGTCACATTGGGTGTGTGTAGTTATGAAGTTAAAAATCCAATGCATTCTATTATTTCATGACATTCTCATTTCATCTGGACTCGTGAATTATGCCACATTGTCTAGTCTAGTTACACGTGTTTTATCGCTTGTAGTCGCCTGATGAACTATTTTAACATGCATCGGGCTGGAGGGTATGTGTCAAGTGTGAGAATTTTCAAAATTAAACGATTTTAAAATTTTATAATTTTTTCCTTTTTATTGTTTGACCTCATAATGTGTATTGTAAGTTGTCACTTGAACCTTGAATCTTAAATCACATAATTTAATCTTAAATCCATATCAAATTATGTGATTTAAATTTCATCAGATGTCCTTAGACTTTAGTTTCATTTCTCTTGATATGACACAAATTTTCTCTTCATCGGTCTTAGGTTCGTTGCCGAGTTAATCATTCTTTCTCTCTAAAGTTTTTTTCTAACCTTTTAGTGTATTTCTAGTGTAATTTTCTAATATTTTAGTCTCTTCCCTTGTTGTAAAAGAAATAACAAAATAAATAAATCAAGATTTACAATCAGCAGTTTCCAGGTGAAATGGAATCAACATGGCTTCTTTATTACAAAAATAAACTAAATAAACATAGAAATAGTAATAAAAAGACAACTTGAAACAATGGACTTTGGATAAAGTAGAGTAAAGAAAGAAATTAAAAAAACACAAGATATTCGACAAAGGATTACGATATGAAAAGAAACTTTGCTTGACAGTTATAGCAGCATAGGAAAAATTAAAAGCGTTTTGTATTTTTCCTGTTTGTTCCTTTGTCATCTCAGTATGAGAAAATTTCCAGTTTTTAATTTGTCTTATGAAATTTTTTAGTAGTAATTGCAACATTCCATTAATATTTACAACCTACATTATCAATTAGTTTCTAATTTTTCTTGTTCTATAATAGACATCCATTGAACCATTGAAAATTCGGCCAATCAACCAATCGGAGGAACGAAGTAAAGACAACGCGAGCGCCGTTGAAAGATCTGACAATCCAGAGCATATAATGGATCTTCTTGACTTAGAACTTGAACTGAGTAATATCCAACAGGGTATCAACCAAATGGATAGAATAACGCCTTCAGACCCTTTTGGACCAGCTGCGACAAATAAAGTTTCAACGGATCCTTTCGGAGATTCATTTAATCCACTGTCCAACAAAGCCAAACTTCCACCACCACCGGACACAGGAAAGAAAACAAAGTCGAACGAAAAGCACTGGTTTGATCAAGAAACAGAAGCGTTATTTGAAGAAACTGAATTGCCGACTAGTTTAGCTTCAATCCAGTCGAATGCACCGACAAGTTTTCCTTTAACAACAATATCTGGATCTCCCTTACCTTCAGAAGCAGTAAGTTGATTTTTATAAAAAAAACAAAAATTGTAGTTTTAATATGAATCGTAGGGATCAGAATCTTAAGTTGTCTTGGTGTGATGGTAAATTTCCACCCCTGTGGACTTAACAAGGTCCCTCCACTTTAAATGTTTCTCGGTTGAAAGGCTTGTTCATTCATCCTGAACCTCTCATCTTCATTATATTTTTTTTTTTATTGGATTTTGAATTTCTTCTACCATTATCTGTGGCAGTCACAAAATTGATGGAGAACCTGCACTGGGTCCGTCTACTCGTGGGTTTTTGATGTTACTCCTCCTTCAGTGAGGGACTATCTCAAAGCCGAAATGCATTTGAGTAACGTTCAAAACACATGGTTTAGACCAGTGTTGGTTCAACATATCAAAAAAATTGTTATCTTAGCTTTAAATATAAATAAATGTTATAAAAGTGAATTTTAAACTTTTAGGTTTGATAATATTGATATTAGTTCATATATACAAAAAGAAGATGAACAATGTGATAAAAATTAGGATTCATATCATACGAATAAACGCATACTAATTATGTCACCCATCTAACACATAATCATCAACAAACATGACATTATTACATGATGTAAAGGTGCTCAAAGACGGAGGAATAACAAACTTAATTCACATTTATTTTCATACCACTAAAAACACTTCAAAATAAATAATTTAAATGTTTAAGGGAAGACATTAAACCAAGCAAAAAAAAAAAAATGAAGAACTTTATCTAAATAAAACTAACACCAATAAAGTGCACCAATAAGCCCCTGCCACAATAGACAGATGGTATTTAACGACTTTCTTTTCCTCTATGACCTAGATGGAACTCCAATGATTATGACTATACCATGAAAAGTGTTTTTTTTGCCAACAAAACTACGCTCTTACCTTGTCTCAGTAGTTCTCATGGTGTGAGAATTGCCTAACATGGCTTTTGAACTGGCTTCAGGTTATTGGGTCTGTCTACACTCGTGACATTTGTAATTTTAGTCAAACGTGTTGTGGCTTTCCATCATACTCAGTGAGGAGTCAATATAAAGTATACAGCTAGTGCCTCACATTCACAAAGGTGTTGATGTCTCTGGTTTCTCTTGATATTCAGAATATTTGTCTCTGCTTTATCCATCTTTTTATGTGGTAGTTAAAGAAGTCTTAAACTTTCCTTACATCCTGCCTGCTGGGAGAGGGGAGTACCTTCGCCTTCTTTTTTGAGAGATTTATAAATCTCTAAGTTTACCTCATAAATGCTTTTATCCAGTTTAGTGATAGTTTTGATATTTAGTGATCATTTTTCCTGCTCCAAATTAAGCTCTCTGTGCCCCTGTTTGGGCTAGTTAATCAGCCTGTTTCCTTCTATACCTTCATGTCCCTGTGATTCAAGGTAACCTTGTGTTGTCCTAGGATTATTAAGACAATTTAGGCATAACCAGACTAGTTTGTAACTAAAAGCATACGTAGTGCGTTAGCTGCCTGACTGTCTGAAAGGAGATCTGTGCACCTTCCATTTTTTCTTTATCCACTCATGGAGTTGGATTGCATGGATGTAAGCTTGGAAAATAGTCAGAACCTCTACAAGGGGTTTCGCTAGGGGTTTCAACCCTTTTACTCCTGCACCTATTACCTGTTCAATCTTAGATCAATCAGCGTACCTTTATAAGGGCTTCCTGAAACTGGGTTGCTTTTCATCCAAAGATCTGTTTTCTGTGACCACTAAGAAGAGTCAAAGATAAGTTTTTACTTCTTTTATAGCTATGGGTTTCACCTTCTCAAGCCATTTTTCCAGCTCCAACTTTAGCACTCCTGTGTGCCTGGTTGTGATTCAGGCCCTGTGGGTGAGAGGGCCACCCCTTCTTAGCTTAGCTTATTGGTCTTCTTAGCTAATTTGTCTGTCTGTTTCCTTCGTACCTTAATGCCCTGGAACTTTAGGTTAACCTTTTGTTTTCATAGGACTGTTAAGCAATTTAGGCATTCCCAGACTAGTTTGGAGCTAAAAGCACACTTATTAAGTGCCGATGGATCCGTGCAACTTTTTGTTTTCTTCTTAATCGATTCCTGTTCAGATTTCATGGACGCCAGCTTGGATTATAATTGGACTGAAGTTCTAACATACTGAAACGATGGGCAGACCCAAATGATCGGAAACAACCTAACTACATGTTCATGCGGGGAATAATTTTCAGATCCCTTTATTTCCAAATGGTCGATTGCTTAATGAGAAACATTTTATGTAGAAATTGATCTAAAATAGATTTTCCTGTAATATACCATATGATAGACTAACACATATCTGTACATAATACTAACAAGGGTGTGCGTGCATGTGTGTATGTAAGTGTACACAGATGTGCATGTAAGCTGAATTGTAAAACTATTTTTGAAAACTGTTTTGGAGGAATACTTTAGTAGTAAGTATTTAGAACCTGGAATGTTTCTGTTGCATTTACTGTAATTATTATTATTATTTTATTTATTTATTTACTTTTTGTATGACAAACAGATAAATTTTCAACAAGTAAACATATTATATATTTATACCATTTTGGCACAAAGTGATTATTTTTTTCTTTTGTTTTGTGCACAAATTGAAAGGACTTAATTGCGCATTGGGTGGTGATTCTTGTTTGAAACAAGAATATGCACCCCAGAAAGAAAAATTACAATATTACTTTTATGCATTTATGATCAATCATAGTAACATTAAAACTGGTGTAATGGTTTATTTTGTATTTTTTAGGCTGCAGATGATGCCATGTTGAAAAAACTCGACCTCTCACCGTCACGTGATCAATTTGATGTGTTCACTGACCTAGATCCTCTTGGAACAGGACGAAGCAAACCGTACATCGACAAGAAGGATTTTTTTCAAGATCTTAAAAATCCGCCAAAGAAAGTGCTTAAAGATCTAGTCACGGAGGTGCCTGTTGAAAATAAGAAAACCCTTTTTCATGGTAATTTTGAATGTGATACACCTTCGGCTCAACAGAGTAGCAAATCTGAGGAAGGAAATGTTTCCAAAACGTCTGCTCCGGCTCAGTTGTTTTCTGATCCGTTTCAAGACGATCCTTTCGATAAGGATCCATTTTCCGAAGTGGATTTTTCCAAATCTATTTTCACCCCTTCAAGCAGCAGTGATCCTTTTGAAAAGTTTGCCGATTTCGCTTCGTTCCCTAATCAAATCGAGAATATCTATGCAACTGTTGAAACTGTGAAACAGTCCACTTTCTCGGGTGAACTTTCGAAATCGACTCCGTTAAAAGTTTCGCTCCCTCCGGAAAAGTTAGGTTCAAATGAATATGCTTCTGTCAGCCCGATACAGTCTAGGAAAGCTAGAGGGTACCAAAAAACAAACACAATAGGTTGTGTGATTTCAAAACCTCCTAGTCCAAAACAAAAAACTCGCTATAAAATGCTATCTCAAACGTCAGATGTTTATGGCGAGAGGAACTCCCCGATAATGGAAGGTGTAACAATCAAATCGAGAAACACTTATTTTACCACCCCTGAAAAACAGTACAATGACAGTTCGGCGCCTGAACCTCCTCCTAGATCTGCTCTCAATTGTTTAAGCATGAAGCCTCCTCCTCTGCCTCCTAAACGGATTCCTTGTGCCATCTCTTCAAGGCCTCCACCCCGGCCTCCTCATTCTGATTACGACTATATAGAAAATTATCAGACTACTCATTTTACCAATATTAACAGCCCTCCTTTACCGGCGCCAGCGAGGAAACCAAAAATTATCGGAAAACCGAGTACAGATACTGAATACTATTTACAGCCTTTTCCCCTCCTTCCACCGCCGAAGAAAAAGAGTGCTGCGAAGAACGTTTCTGCAACGAGTGAGATTTACGCTTCTACTAAACTGATTTCGAGTTCGACAGCTGCTGCTGTCACCAGTCCTCCCACTTTTACAACTACAACCGTGACCAGCACGGAAACGGTACCTTCTTCTTCGGCAGCTTCTGCTAATAAATCTTTAGATATTACTCTCAGTCAATTAACAAAAACAGGGTTTAGCGATCTTGCGGCTACCTTAAACATGTCTCCCACATCGCTTTCTAAAATGACATTACAGGAATTGACAAAATGTTTAGCCAAGCTTTCTAATAATGATAATCAAAATAAAGATTTAAATTCACAAGCTGTTTTAAACAGCGAGTGTTATTCTGTGGATGAAGGGGCTCCCTTTAAAGCTGAATTTGAAGCGCATTTTACTTCAAACGAATTTCCTAAGAAGGAAGAAGAATCTCTTTTTGATAAATATGCAGTTTTTAGAGAGCTCCTTGAAGAGGAGAAAAAGCAGTGTGAAGAAGTTAATGAGGAAACACAAGTTGGCGACAAGGTTGAGACAAATCAGTTCGATGAAGTAGACGAGAGAAAAACGGGTGAGCCGACTAAGGTTGAAAATGTTGAACCACCGTCAGAAGACAGATATGCAGCTCTCAGAGATATTTGTCTTGACGAAACGATTGAAAAATGTGATGATAAATATGAAGATCTGAGTGATAAGGATGATAGTATTATTGAGCCGTCAAGGCTGGAAGAAGACACCGATCTTCTACCTCAGTCACGTCCTCATAGTGAGAGTACAGAATCTCCGACAGTCACTACAAAAGAACACCAATCAATTATGGAAGCAACAATAATGGAAGAAGATATAAGCGCCCTGGAAGTCGATGAGGAAGATGTACCAGAAGAGTCTATTGATGAAACTCTCAAAGAACAACTCGAACCTGATAGCGTAGTCGATAATTCTGTAAATAGAGCAACAATTAATAAAGTAAATGATAATATCCAGTATTCTCATCCTGAAGGTGTCGCCGAGGCCAAAGGCAGTACAGAAATAAATTCTTCATGGGCAAAATTTGACAGTAACAACATGCCGCTTGAAAGTGCATCAAGTATACACAGTGAAGGGCATATATCGCCCTGGTCTACAGAGAGCAAAGATAACGATTTATCGCCGGCTTGCAGAGATAAGCGTAAACACCGAAAAGTAAGAAGGCATAAACAAAACCAATGGCAAGAGGACGAAGAATCGGAAGAAGGGTGGGATGGCCGAGTGGAACACAGCTCATGGAGTCCATCATGGAGAGAAAACGGGTGGAGTGATGGTGACTCGTTGTACAATGAAACACACGGTTACATCGAGCACGATTATCCAAGTCCAAGAAGAGGGCGAAGAAGACGCATGTCTCCTTGGAATTCTCGTGAGCAGTCCCCGTGGGAAGAAGACGACAGAGACTTGAGCGAAGATCAATGGGAAGGTTCTAGATGGCAAGATGATGTATGCCAAAGGCCAAAACATAGGGGTCAATCATGGGAAGATGAAAGGAGAAGGCATTACGAAGAACCAAGGAAACCGAGAAACGTCAAAATGTGGTCAAATGAGCCTCACGCTTGGGAAGACGATGAAAGGTATCAAAAACGTAATTACATAGACAGAAGAAGAAGAAAATGGGATGAAGATGTACATAATAGGAATAGAAATTGGAGAGAAAGAGACTGGGCTGAAGCTGGAATGAAAATGAGCAATAGATACTGTAAAGAAAGGAGTCACGATTCGCACTGGGATAGTGAATACGGGGAGCATGATGATGAAAGCTCGCATTGGAACCAAAGGCCAAGAAGCTGTGATAGGGGTAGAAGACAATTTTCAGGTCATCATTCGTCTGATAGCGATTTTCCAGATAGGAGATACATGAGGTCTCGAGAGGGCCATTGCTCTGACTTAGATTATAGGCGAAAGGCACAAACATTGCAACGTCAAAAGCAACGACGAAAGCACAGTCAAAATTCACCGTTCGAAGATGATTTTTCATCGCAATTCAGCTTTTCTAAGGAGAGCCCTGGTGGGCCAGATGCTTTTGACCCAGAAATTAAAACATCGCCCGTGCCATTTGAGACTCATAAAAAGCCAGGATTCACCGACTCTTCCAGAGTAAAAGATTTTTCACAATATCCGTCTCATTCAAATATCCATAGTCAACCCGAGTACCGCGATAGTTCTGGAAACAAAATTTCTCGCTCTTATCAACAGTCACCGTTTGAAGACGACTTTACAAGCCCAGATAATAGAAGATGTAGTGGTCGCAGCGCATCCAGTGATTTAAGCGATCCTCGAGGTAGTGATGAGATTTTCCCTGGACATCCCGAATTGCCGAAACCTTCAAGATCTGACGTCGCTAAACGCCCTAAAAGTGCAAATCAAGCAGAATCTCTAACCCGAAACACAAAAAGTTTTAAATCCGTTCCCCCCCAACTTGATTCGCACAAAGTCCCACATCAAACCAAGACCGTCACTCATCCTGAATGCGAGATGTCTGATGTTAACATTGCTCAATGCATGACTGATAAAAAAGGAAACAATTCTGATTGTAAAGGTCGAATTTCAAACTTAAAACGTTCTGATTCAAGTTCCAGTCTGAGAAAATCAGAATCGGTGAATATTTTCGCTAGAAATAACGATCCTTTCGATGATGATTTTTTCTGCGAAGAAAATACCACTCTTCATCGCAATAAAGATAAATTATCCAAAACATTAGGGCATGAATCTAAATGGGCGGATTCTTTTAACGCTTTTAGTTTTGACGAAGAAACAAAATGATCCTACCTTGGAAATTACGTTTAAATAAGTATATAATTGGGAAAACGAGTATGACCTGACAATTGAATAGTACGGATAGTAAGATAAGGATTATTAAAAAAAAGTTTGTCGATTAAAATTGAAAATAAATCAAGAGATTATATAACAAAGTACCAGAAGATCTGTATATTAAGTGTGATTAGGCATGTTTTAACACTTGTACATCGCGTGAATAGCAAAGTTTATACACAATCATTTATAAGGCCCATTTGTACGGCTTTTTATATGCAATTTATAAATGGTTTATACTTATTTATTCTTCGGTATTAAATGTATATAAATACATAATAATAATAATAATATATGCATTAATTATCTCTAAATTGGAAAAGATAAAAGAGATTCCTAGTGTACATAATGTGTAATTATAACAAACCTACTAGAAATATTTTAGTAACATTTATAAAAAAAATAATAATAATCATTTATATGCAAATAAAATTGTTATTTAATGACTGACTTAGTCTAAATAGACTAAAAACCACCACTATATTCGCATATAGTGTCATTAATTAATTGAGTTGTATATTTAAAATATGTAAACGCATTGAACCAATATCTCATTGGAAAAATCTTTGTCTATAGCGGTGTTTCTCAAACTGCAGGGCACAATTAAAATTGCAAAATGAAAATCAGAATTTAAAACGTCCACGATGAATTTTTCAAGACGATATGTAAATTGTTCATTCGTGAAAAGTTAAATTCTTTCGATGGAATATTTCATTTATTCTAAGGGAAAAAATTTTCTATTGTATAACTTGAATGGTTCTGGTTTCTAAACGAAATCTTTGTCATTCTTAACCCCCCCCCCCATTTTTAATATTTGGAATATCTATGTCAAATTGTGTAGTTTTTTGCATTAGACGTTTAGAAATAACTGTACTACTAAAGAAAAAATGTGTTTTTTTTTTTTTTTTATCAACCGATGAATAGAGCGGCATTTAGTTTCAATTCGGTCTTCGTCAGTTCTTACTTCCGCTTAAAAAGTTCGAATCGACAAGTCCGAGCCTTTTTCTAGCATTGTTGAGAATTTAATGGAACATTCAGACTGATTAACAAGTCAAAAACTATTTTTTTCTTGGCTTTCATCTTGTATTTCATAGTTTATTTCTTCGGAATCTTTTAAACCTTAAATATGTGTTGTAATTATTTTGCATACTTTGAATAATTGACATACTCTTTCCAATAAATAATAAAAACCAGGAAGTACGTAATAAAAAGGCACACAGTCATTTTTAACAATCTAATCTGTAAATCTAGTAACATAAGTTTTTTTTTTTTTTCCATATACATATTATTAGATATTACAAATATGATCACAAATCATTTTTTTCACACAGTCACAGCAATAACACTAAGGCCACCACTACATCCAATACTGGCACTCGGTGTGAGGAATTTAAGGGCAAGAAGGTCTCGAGGATATCAGGTTCTCAGGATGGGAATGGGTGTAGAGAGGGCTTGAGCACTAGGGTTAGAATGGATCAATAGGTTGGAGGGAAACTTTTGGAATTTGGAATGGATCAGCTTGTTTACAGAAGGACTTTTGAGGTCATTGTAAGGTTGGTGATGTAGTGAAGAATGCATTGGATGTTTGGATGGCTTGGCAGAACAATGTATGTCCAATATGTTTGCAATAAAGATTTAAGGTTAGTTTACTGTTGACAGTCACAATGTATTTCAGTCCTAGAAGTCTTCGTAGCTGTCCAAGTCTTGTTGTGTGGGGATTCGACGTCTGTTGTCTAGGTATAGTCCTATGTATCTGACTTGATTAGAAGTCTATTTCTTTGTGTCCCCACTTTTAGCACCAGTCTTCGATAAGCTCGAGGTGTTCATGGATGTTTAGAGGTCACTTGGATAGAATTCGGGTTGGTAAACAAAATTTTATCCGTACAGCCGCACATGTTGCATTCTAGAGCATAACAACAGCTAGGTCATTTTAGCCCAAGCAGTTTTTAAACCTAGACACACACTCTTAGATAAATTCTTTATTTACATTCCATTCACTCAGGGTGGTGGAGTAATTGATACTCCATAGCTTTTTACACCGATCATAACTAACCTAATGGTCAATGGGGTACTGAATATTCTGCCATTAATTAAATGAACTCAGAATAAAAATTGCTTTTTAAAAAATATTTTTTTATTGAAGTAACAACTGTTCAGACGTGGGGCTTACAGCAGAGAATGATTAACGGTTACAACAATAAGCGCATAGCGTGGGAAGGGTTTTTTAGATTAGTTATCAAAAGAAATATTGACAGCAGTGTCGGATTACAGGATCTTTCCCTCCTCAGGATGAAAGTTGTCCTCAGCGTTCAACCGGTTTCTTCGGGTTCAATTTCGATGTTGTGAGATGTTTGCTTATCTCTTCTGCTTGGAGCTTAGTCAGCTCTGATGATAACTGCTGTTTTTCTAACATTCTCTATTCTTAAACAATAGATAACATATTACAAAGAGTGTCATTACTAGTAATATTACATACATAATTTTATAATGGTTAACTAGCAGTTGAACTAATTCTTCCAATGGGTCTACATTAATATTGGATTTATGGATTGTTTTAAAACTCACAATTAGATGTTTACATACAACGGATATATACTTTTTCATAATTGATTCAAAATATGTATATGGTTTAACAAAGTTGTTTAGTGTTTCATTTTTGTTTAATAATATTAGTGCTTTTCTTGTAGATGTACAATATTCGTATTACTATGAGTCTTAATTGTTAATTGTTATTATAAGATAAATATTGATTAATGACATTAACATACTTAATAAATGATTTTGGTTGAGGTATGATGTAAAATTCACAATTTTTTTGCATCATTTTCCTCTGATATTCCATTTATACATGGATAATTTAATCTAGACTTTTTTTACAATAATAATTATCTTTAGTAGTGTACGGTCTCCTGCAAGTAACCTCTCGTGTTTCACAATAAGAGAAGGATGGACAATCGTGATGATTGTTTACCTTCATAATCAATTGGGTACGATAGGAAAATATAGGGAATGTAAGGGTAATCGGATAAAATAAGAAATGAAGTCACTATGAATGGAGCAATGTACTCTCCCTATTTGCCATAAAATCTCTGGATCCTTTGATATTAATGATACATGAGTTTTTGATGTTAATTCCCTAATTTCTTTATGTGTTATTATACTGGAATGGATTACGTTTGTTTTACAAAATTCCAAGCTATCAGCTATGTCGTTTATTTTGTTATATAATAATGATAGTGATGTAAATAGGATTGTATATTTCTGGGTAAGTTCTATTGTATTCGTTGTGTTTTCGAAATATTTAAGATGGTTATGTAATTTTACATTATTTTCTTGAACAATTCTTATCTCTTTAATGAATTCTTTAATTAAACGTTTATTTAATGATAGTTGCTTTTCTACGTTGTGTTCTAAAGTATATTCATTTGTTTGAACTTTCATTAATATTTCATCATATTTTTCTTTGCCGTTATGGTCCATATTTCCAGTTAGCCAAGGGATTACAGTCCATAAACCATTAATTAAATCTCTTTTGATTCTAAAATTGTTATTTCTGGTGTTCAGGTGAATACGGCCTAGTTTGTTCTGTGTGTCTTCTAGGTATGATTTGAGTTTTTATACTTGATAGGTTTCTATAATTTTGGGGGTTTTGTTCAGTAAGATCCGAATGTTGTCTAATTCGCCTTGATAGATGACATAGTGCAGTAATATTGGCAGTGCATTCGTACCCGATCAATCAGGTAGATCAACAAAGACAGACAAACAAAACCCAAAATATTAACAACAGACACATTTTTAACAATTGTCTCTTAACATTATCTTTATCAAAATTATTAATATCATTTGGTTTATATTCAAAAATTTCATATATTTCCATGGGCATGGGACTAATGGTCATTAGCTCGTTGGAATAGACAATACATCTACATTTCTTATTTTTATTTTAACCAAACCTTCGTTAATCCTATATTTTCCATTGTCGAAGGGTTTTATTATCGTGATTTTTGTGTTCGGCATTGACCTAACAGGCAGCTCGACTATGTTAGTCCCTTGTTTAAGCTTAATTTTTCTTGGTTCAGTTTGAAACAAATTTTTTTTTACCTTTTTCATATTCTAATACATTTTTATCAAAATTAACATTGGCATTAACACAACTTAAAGTTTCATGTCCAAATAAAATATCGTATTTATCCGAAAAATTGAATAGGTATATATTTTTTTTTTTATTATTAGTATAAAATATTTCCTCGAGATCAAATAGAACATATTCAGTTCCTTTAATTTCTCTAGCCGGAGTCTTTACAATGACTCTTCTCTTTATATAGTTATCAAAGGGGATTAATGTAATTTTTAAGTGAACCCGAATCAATAAAGCCGTCTTCTGTGTGAATTATCAACAAAATGGGGAAGTGATTTATTAGTTGATTTTAATTCAAATCCTTCCTTTGGGTTGTTGCCCAAGCCTAAAAAAAATGATCAAATTTTTTTGTGATGCTATTAACCGATTTTGATAATTGTTCTATTTGCTTTTGTAATTGTAAGTTTTCAGGATTTTCATTATAATGCATTACTCAGTAATATCTACTTTTTGAAATTTATGAAAACTGTATTTTGTGAGTCTACATTTTGAAACTTTTTTTTTTATTAATTTTTTTTTTTAATTGGGCTTTTGATGAGGTTGGAATTGCTGGTATTGTTTAGACGATGAATAACGATTGGGAATGAGAAGGTCTGAAGTATTCGTGCGTCGCATCTATTGGTACATTTCAGTTATTTTCTAAAGTCCAGTACATTAGGCAAAACGAACTTACGATTGGGAATGTCGAATTTATTTTGAGATCTAGGGGGATATTGCAGTTTCAGGATGGCATGTGGAACTTATATAGTTTGGTATTTTCTTTTGTGAGGGGGTTTGTAATTTGGTATTTTATAGTTAGTGTGTATCGTAGTTGGTTGTCTGTCTGTTTTATTTATTATGTTTAGGCTAGGGTTCAACTTTGTCAAGTCAATACTACAGTTATTAACTTACTTCTAGCTGTGTCTAAATTTTCAGGTTGTAAAACCCACCAAGTGTTGGGTGAATTCCATGTATCGATGTTCTAACATGTGTGGCATCAAGTTGGTCAGTTAAGATTCTGTAAAAACTGATCTTGATGCCAACTATCCTATACCTTATGATCACTATCGTTTATTGTCTAGTCGATTTAAAAATTAGTTGGGGGTGTTCTTAGTTGTTTGACTTCATAACTGTTATTTCTGCTGTTAGAACAGGAATTGTTCTTTTGCCAGCAAAATTCTTGTTTAGTGTTTTTATTAGATCAGTGATATGGGTAGCATTGTTGTTCAAGAGTACTGCTTCTGCAGGGCCATCTAACGGCACATTCCAGCTCTGAATAGAAGCCAGTGATTCAAATCTTTTTCGAGAATTCGCACAATATGCGGTATAAATTTCCTGTATTGTGCCAATCAAATTGGGCAATTTGTACATCGCACCATCATAACATGGATGGTTATGGTATTAGGATATCAGTAGGCAAACATTTCGATAGTTCATTATCAACTATGTTTAATGTGGAGGACAAAATATTTGATCTATTATTATGTGAAAAGGAATCACTTACTGAAGGTTGATCAACAGGTTAGGAGTCTTCTTCCTATGAAGATGATGGGGATGGTGCAGATCTTTTGTAGTAAGGTGATTTTGTCCAGCTGTTGTTGGGGTGTATGACCATGAGTTGCTCTGAAGTCCTCTATTGTTGAACCCAGTGAATTAAGAGTAAAAACTCAAATTGCTTCTCCCCAGGATTAATCACTCAAGTTAAAGACAATTGGTCTTTTCAAAAGAACTTTCGCCGGACCCTGTTCGGGTGCCAATTAAATACTCGGAATAAAAATTACTTTTTAAAAAAGAATTTTTTATTAAAACTACAACTGTTGACGGGGCTTACAGCAGAAAATGATTAAAGATTAAAATAATAAAGGGAAGGGGTTTTTAGATTAGTTATCAAAAGACATATTGCCAGCAGTGTCGGATTGCAGGTTCCTTTCTTGTAACTGTTGACCCTCTCACACTTTGCATTTACTCTCAGCACACACAATAGGGAACCCAAAACAATACATTGGTACTATATACAATAAAACAACCCTATTTCCTTCAAAAATACGAACAGGAGACCCAAATATTCATTATCTGCTCAACTATATACTAGAAAACCCCGTTTCCTTCAATAATCAGAACAGGTCAACAAAATACTCTCTGCTCAACCACAATTCTCATATCGGATGGTATTCCTACACGCTCTCTATACAGAGCCGACCTTTCTCTACATGCCGGAGATTCTCAACACTGCTAGATAAAATGTGAAATTTTACTAATGGTGTGCTATATCATCTTACTTGAAAGAAAGAAAAAAAAATTAATTCTTCTGTAAAAACTTGCTGAAATTGTAATGTAATCTGCAACTTTGATTAACTGATCTAAATAAGAGACTGACACCATTGAGATCCAAAGATTGCATTTTCAATTATAAAACATCTACTAAAAATTCTGTTTCTTTTATAAAAACAAAGTTTTTAAGAGATTTTCATTATTTTTGACCGCCAATATTTTTTTTATTATTATTTTAACTATACGCACTCACTGCTTCATACAGAATAGATTTTAACGCTTATCAGAATACTTTGTCATATTTTAAGTGGTTGTTGTCTTTTTAACGTGTAAATCTGAAATCGAACTCATCGGTAACTGCATTGGCATCATGTATAAGGTATAAGGCACCAATAAGGCTCCTATTCTCGAATATAACTTGTATAAAGAGATTTTTCTAGAAAAAAAAAGGATTCCCCCTATATTGAACGAGTGCATGTATATTTGACTGAAAAGAATTGAAAAGGTTTTTCTTTTTTTTAAATTATTATTTATCATTTATAAATGATTTATATATTTTATGTATCGTTTGATGGAATGATGGGTATCTCAATTGTAGATTATGTAATTTAAACTTTTACACGCTTTATAAAGGCGCAGGTATTTTGTGATACTGATATTTTTTGAGAAGATATTCGACAAATATTTTTGTGTGCACTTAATTAAAAAAACTTTAATGTTGCTGTTTCATTCTGATGATGTGGAATGGTCACCAAAATTCTCATATGTGTAATTTAATTGTTTTTTCTTAGAGAGCAAATCGACGTCAATAGTAAATGTTCACAGTTTTTTCCTCTTTGTGATATGTAGGTGTAATGTAGTTTTAAAAAAATTAATGTATTAAGGTGTAATTATTTTCTAACATCCGTTAACTTTTTTTCCTTTTTTGACTTATTTAACATCTTAATGTAAAAGGTTAGGGAAACACTGAACTATAGTCAATAATTTATACATTCAAAAAGTATCAAGATATATTGTATATGTTAAAATATGTTATTTAAATCAAATTTACCTTGTTTTCTTTGACCTTATGAACAACTTTATGACAGTTCAAAGAAACTTTTTATTTCCATATTGTCATGTTTTAATTTAGCACTTTCATTTTATTATTCTAGTCCTTTCAAACCATCACGATTGTATATTAATAATATTTATCAAATTTTTTATAGCTTAATGTAGACTAATTTATTTTGTACAAAGAATGTATATCTCTAAATTAATTAATTAATGAAGTTGGTGTTATTTTTCTACATTTGAATTTATTTTAATTGCTTTTATTTAACTAGGATTAATTCACTAATTGTTCGATAATTTGGAATTTCTGATGATGTTGTTATAATGTGTTAAATTGTGAATAAAAATTGTAATTATGATAACTGTAATTCAAATCAGAGGCCCGATGTCTTTTATATTAAAGCACTTGTATATATAGATATACGTAAATTGACAATCTAGTTACCTGCATAGATTTACTCACCTGTGATATATTCCACCAGCTGTGTATCAAGTTACGGAATTAAATCTAATTTAATTTGTAAGTTATTTACTCTAAAAAATAATGCCAAATAAGAGAGATTATACAATAATAATTGTCTACATGATAAATAATTGAAAATATACCAAATTAGTTTTAAATTCTGTAATGTTCTGGCTCATACACAGCTGACTGAATACAAATGGGTGACTAGATAAACTCAGGCAACTTGATTTTTATTCAAATACACATATATGACATTTCTTGCATTTTCAATTGTTTTTTATTTATTTATTTAAATAATATTGCGCAAGTGTAAGAGTATAAGTAAAATCTCACATATAACTTTACAGGTTTATCGTGAATGCATATATATTCGATTGCAGTTAATAAGTTCCTCAACAAAGGGAACAATCCTTTGACTAACGTCTTAAGTTACCGCCAAAATAAATAGTTTTTTTATCTGAAAATTATTATTTATTGCCCTTATTGTTTTTATTCTGTTCACTGGGAAAAAAAGAAAAAAATTGAAGGTAAGAACAAGTAATTTGGTTTTCCAGAGCACTGGTTCCAAGTGACCTCAGATTGATTCAGAATTTATTCATTTAGAGTTGGCCTGTTTACACCTTACAAATTACAACCAATGTTGAATGCTGACCTCCTGTGCACTCTCCATAATTACCTAGAATTCTTCGTAAGCTTAAGGCATTTTGTCAGATCCCAAGTTTTAAGTCACAAGTCCTTCCGACCTTTGGCTTTTCTTCTCATGAGTTTACAGCCTGCACATGCCTTTAAAACAGACACATTCCATTGTTTCTTCTTTGTGGCAATATCTGCACAGGCTTGTATCTGCTATAATGAATCTGATATGCTTACGGAGTCAGCAGTATATCAATTTAGTCCTAGTACATCTCTCTGCAATGATCCTTGAAACCTTTTAGCATGCATGTCCTGAAATACAATCCTATTAAGCCGAAGACTTATTTCTTAATCCATTGTATGATGGATCTACATTTTTGTCGATTTAGTATGCTGTAGAAGGTTGATTCGTAGATGTTCCCTTGGCCAATTTATCAGCTTCCTTGTTGCTCCTATGCCTAGTGCTAGGAAGTGGGTGTTTGGTATTCCCCGAGCACTGCAGCTTGTACTTCTCGTAGTTCAGTTCAATTGAGTCAGTCCATCTTTTTACAAAGTAGGTCATTGACTTATTAATACATCCTTTCCTAGGTCATCATCTACTCCAGGTTCCCACTTGAGCAGTTTTACGTTTAAAGATGGGGGTGGCAGTTTATAATACAATCCACAAATGGAGTCATAGTTATATAATGGGTGTTTTCTCAGATGCCAGTGACCTTAGTGCTTAGCTGTATTTAATATGTCCTTCAGTGGTGAATTTCTAACCCCAGGGTAATCGGATTTTCAACAGTTGATCTGTCACAATACACAGACATACAATATCACTAGAGCTATCAAAATAAAACAAAGTCCATCCTTCTTTTAAGAAGTAATAGGTCATTGCTGAAATTTTTTTTTCCAGGATCTTTTGGGTACACTAGGTGATAAATAAATAGATAATATGGGTGGCAATTTCTTCTTCCTTATCACATAACCTACAAATTGTGTCATTGTTATATATACCGTGTTGTGTAGGCCAACACATCATTTTCTCAGATGCCAGTGAACAATGACCTCTAGATTTCTTAAATTTCTTCTTTTGCAGATTGATTCTGAGATGGAGGAGTCTATGTTTGATCTTGTTATTGCAATTATAGGTTCTGGGCCAACGTATGGTCAGTTCAATTGACTTAATCTATCAATTAGTAGGTGTATAAATTCACTGTCATTGATGCAGTTTGTTTTTCTTGGGTCTTCTTGGCACCTTCTTACCTCTCTGCCTAAGTACTCGGATCTTCTAGGTTATGTCTTCATTGAGTGATTATTTCATTTTCAACAATGACATGGATGACAGTTTCATCTTCCTCATTGCATAACCTACAAATTGGGTCACCTTTCAATAAACCTCCTAGTTTCACCCGTTTTAGTTGTTCCAATATGTTTGGTAGTTTTTGTGAGTTCTTTAATCATGAATTTACTATGTATGGCATCTTTGGAGTTTGTACACTTTTCGTTTTATTTTTATAGACTTATTCTGAGATAGAGATGGAGTTTGATCTTGTCATCCCAAGGTTCTGGGCCTTGCAAATCCTTCACTAGTCAGTTTGTCTGCATTACCCAGAATTCTTTTATACCCTGGCACCCAAGATATTGCCATGTTGTTATGTTTCCCTAGGTTTTGGAGATTTTGGATGGGAGTATAAGTGCTGCTCTTATTATGCCAATTATGCCAGTTCTGAGCATAAAGCTTCTTTCAGATGAGGTGATTTAGTTGACTTAACTAAGTTGCCCGGTTGTCTCTCAACTCGTTTTCTGCCGTGTGAAGACTCTTCTTTGCTGGTTTCACACCAGGCAACTTGTGGAATCAATCTCTCTTCCCAACGGGAGGTCATTATGATGTTAGAACCCAAGGAAGCAGGAGCACTTCTTGTGCTTGCTCTTCTGCAAAATGAGAAGGAAAAAGGAGGAAACCTAGTAAAGTGTGGGTTTATCTGTTGTTTTAAAATTGGGAAACGGGCACTTTCGCTCAAATACTGTTGTGCTACATCCCTGCATGCTTTGCTTCTTTTAATTCTATCACTACACTTCTCACACCTCATATCCCATATCGCAGGACTTATATGACTATGTTCAATGAACTTCTCCACAATGAAACTTGCAATTGTAATGCTTTCCATGGTGAACTTAGTTGACTCAACTAGGCGACTGGTGTGAAAGACAAATGTCGAGCAGTGCCTTTTGTGTTGTTACAACCAGTGGGGATTAGTACGCGAGCGGCACTGCTGGCCACTTGCCTGGGTGGATGAGTTGGCTGCGTGTGAAGGGGTTGGGGCGATTCCCAAACATTTTGCTACCACGTTACAATCCTTGACACTCGTCCGTTCGACTAGTAGAATCAACTAGCCGCCTCGTTTGAAAGAGGCCTAAAGGTCTTGCAGGTCCTCCCCAGGCCAGTTTGTCCATTTTTCCAATACCTGGACTCCTTTGTGCACTGGCATCCAAGATATCATAAGGTTGTTATGTTTTTATAAGTTTTGAAGATTTTGGATGTAAGCCTATGTTTGATTTTATAATCGCAATTATCCCAGTTCTGAGCCTAAAGGTCTTGCAGATACTCTGGCCATTTGTCCACTTGTCCAATACCTGGAACAACTTTGTGCACCGGCACCCAAGATATTGTCAGGTTGTTATGTTAAGTTTTAGAGTCATCAATCCAGTCATTTCCAATCGAAACCTTCAAGAACACCTCACACTACTGGAATCATGGTGTAAAAAAAAAAGACTCAAATTCAACCCAGAAAAATCCACCCACATAACTTTCACCCTCCGCAAAAAGATCCCTCCTCCAGTCTACTTCAATCAAATACCCCTCCCAATTGCGGACAAGGTGCGTTACCTAGGACTATACATTGACAAACGTCTGACATGGAATCCCCACACACGACTGATACGACAAGAAGTTATGAAACGTTACAGAGCACTTTCACAACTTCTTGACAGACGTTCTAACCTACCTCTCTTAAACAAGACTACTTTATATCACCCTTGTGAAGCCAATATGGAGTTATGGACTGGAAGCGTGGGGTTCAGCCAAACATTCCAATATCCTACGCATCCAAAGAGCCCAATCCATCATCCTCAGAAAAATCCTTAATGCTCTCTTTTATGTGTCCAACGACACTACCCATGAAGACCTAGATATTCCTTTTGTCCAAGATGTAACCCACTCCCGTTACCAAAAATTTTTCACAAACCTCCCAACCACTATAAATCCTCAAATTCAAATCCTCTCATCCCGACGAATTCCTTCCAACCCTCTTCGCCGACTAAAAAGACGATGGCCACGGGATCTTCTATCCAGTGACAATTGAATAAAGAATAGTTAGGAGTACTACCGGTGGGTAGTTTCTCCACTCTTGTTTTTCTTAATATTTATTCATACATTATTACTAGATACCAAAATGCAGGTAGTTGTAATATACAATAAAAAGAAAAAAAAAGTTTTAGAGATTTTGGATCAAAGTCTATGTGTTTCTCTTATTATGCCAATTATCCCAGTTCTGGGCTTGAAGGTCTTTAACATTATTCTCTGGCCAATCGGTTTGCCACTGTTCTTTGCTCAGAACTCCTTTGTGACCTGGCACCCAAAATATCATCAGGTTTTATATGTTTTGGATACACCCGCAGATTATTTTGGATGTGGCTTTTTTACTATAATGCTTTTTGGGGCTGCTAGTGTGCTGTGAAGACTCTTCTTTGCTGGTTTCACATCAGGCAACTTGTGGAATCAATCTCTCTTCCCAACGGGAGGTCATTATGATGTTAGAACCCGAGGAAGCAGGAGCACTTCTTGTGCTTGCTCTTCTGCAAAAAGAGAAGCAAAAAAGGAGGAAACCCAGTAAAGTGTGGGTTTTTCTGTTGTAGGCTAGGCTATCTGATCCTATAAGGATTTTTTTGTCAGTGTAACCTCTTTTAAGATATTCTAGGGACCAAGGATAGATAGCATTTCAGCTTGAAAGACCATATTTACCAAGCCATTTGTATACCCTATCTTGGAATTGGATGGCATACAGAGTGTTTGATCTTCTGCTTTTTTTCTACCATTTTGTTTCAAAATAGTTAGTCCACATCCAATTTACTTGTTTTTGGATTATGAGCTTTTCCTACCTTCGATGGAAGTAGGTTAAATAATATTTGTAAGCCTTTGGGTTGTAGACTCCTACAAGTTTGGCCAATTTTTGCACATTGTCCGATGTTCGAGTAGTTTGTTTTTAATTTGAGGTTTATTCCATAATATTATTGAAAATATGATTATACTAAGATATTTGCCTTCTTTAGTAGACAATATTTACCTAGGGTTTTTGGCTGTTGCCTTGTGGTATTTGCCTTTTGGTTTTGATGTAGATGAAGGTTTTTGTTATTTTAGGCATGTTTTTAAAAAACCGTTTATACTTAGACATATTAAAATAAGATTCTATTAGTTCAAGGATAACAGGAAAGATAGTAAGATAAAATTGGTGGCGGGGTGAAGTGTTTTTACAAGTCACTTCTCAGTCTCTGAGGACAGTCATTACTGGCGATAACGTCACGGCTCAAGCGTCGAGACCGCCCGAGTTTACCTCAGCCTGTTAATTTAAGAACTTTAAGTTTATCGTCTGCAAATTGTCATTCGCCGGGCGTTTTTTGTCAGTTCGACAACTAAAGACTAAAAAATTGAGAGATGGCAGCATTCACAAAAGGTAAAACAATTTGTCTTTGATTTTGTATCGTTTTGACATTTAAAATATTTTAAAATGAGATTCTAGTTTTTTAAATATGACTGTTTTACAAATAGGTCGAAAATAAATATTCTGTTTTTGCTTTTATCTCAACTTTCACCCACATTTCAATTTCCTTCATTATCTACTTGAAAGAAGTTTTGAAATACTATCTCTCTAACTTCATACTCTCTTTCTCTCACCTCACTCTTTCTTTCTCACTCTCTCACTCAGACTCTGATTCTCTCTCTCTCTCTCACTCTTTCTTTCTCTCTCTCACGCCTCACTCTCACTCAGACTCTGATTCTCTCTGGCTCATTGCTCTCTCGCCCTCACCCTCTCTCACTTTCTCTCTCCTCCCCCATTCCTATCTCTCTGTACCTCCCTCCCACCCTCTCTCTCACTCTCTCACTCAGTCTCTGATTTTCTCTCACTCTCACTCTGATTCTCTCTGACCCTTTACTTTCACACTCTCTCTCACCTCACTATTTCACTCACTCTCTCTCTCACTCACTCTCTCTCACTCACTCTCTCTCACTCACTCTCTCTCACTCACTCTCTCTCACTCACTCTCTCTCACTCACTCTCTCTCTCTCTCTCTCTCTCACCCTCTCTCTCTCTCACCCTACTCTCACACTCGGACTTTGTCTCTCTGGCTCCTTACTCTCTCGCTCTCACTTTCTCTCCCCTCTCCATCTCTCCACCGCCATTCCTCTCTTTGCACCTCCCTCCCACCCTGTCACGCTCTCTCTCACTCTTTCTTTCTCATTCTCTCACTCAGACTTTGATTCTCTGACCCCTTACTCTCTCTCCCTCGTACCTCACTTTTTCTCTTACTTTCTCTTTCTCTCATATCTCTCTCCCTCTCCCTCTCACCTCACTTTCTAACTCTTTCTCTCTCTCTCACTCTGTCTCTGATTCTCTCTGACCCCTTACTCTCTTTCTCTCTCTCTCTCTCTCTCTCTCTCTCTCTNCACACACCCACACATGCATGCACGCATACGCATACATACATGGTTTCTCACACATTCCCAGACTCCACCTCTTTTTTCTGAATCCGACTCACTCCTATCAGACTCAGACTCATTCTCACCTTTTCTCTGTCTGATTCTCCTCACTCACTCTCTAGCTCCAACTTGGGTTCCTGACTCTCCAACTGACTCAAACTCTAATTTTCACTCACTCACTACTATCTCGCTCAGACTCTGGTTCTCACTCACTTTCTAGCTCCAACTCAGTTTCCTGCCCTCTTCAGCTGACTCAGACTCTGATTCTCACTCACTCTCTGGCTTATTCCTGGACAATCTCAAACTGGATATTTATTTAGCATGTTTCTCTAATTTTTGTCACATTAACAAAATAATCTGAAATATTTTCGCTTCAGTATAGAACAACCCTTTAAAAACAATCTATTTTTTAGCAGTAGGGTTTTAGTCTGCGAGTCGGTTCACCATGGACCTACTTTCTGTCCAAATAAACATACATATTTACATATTTATGTCTACATAAATATAAAGTAGAAAAAGTCTATAGAATTTGTCTATATATCCCAGTGATATGGTACAAACAGTGATTTAATTTAAATCTCAAGAGAACAGATCAATTTTACTTATAATTCCTGAAGTTCTGAGACTTTAAACTGAAATTTTATGCAACTCCTTATTTTCTTGGTCTGACTATCCTGGATGGGTTTGGTATTTTGTCATATTCAGCCTACCACAACCTGATGTGACTTCACAGAAATCTCACAGACATGTTGGAGATGGTAAGAGTTACACCCAAGTACACTCGTCTTTGCGATGAACTTGGCATGGAGGCGAGAAGCACTATATTGTCAGCAAAGGCGAGTTTTGTCATATTATAGCTGTGTGCACCCCTCCACCTTTTAGACAATCTTTGATAATCAAAAATAACGAGAAGAGCTGGAGGCTGAAAGTTCATACTTTCATTACTCCCATATTCACACTCTCTGCTTCGTCCCTCCTTAGGATCTTTGAGGACCTCAAATGCAAAAGCCAGCATGAAAAGCGTAAACCTGTTTCTTCACATTGAGCTTTGTATTTAAACAAATATATTATATTATATACAATTGAATGATTGGATTTAAACGCTGTTTGAAATTCCCTTAGAACACCTTGGTGTAGCCAAACTGTTCAACAACAGAGTTTTTGTCATTCGGAAGTTTGCGTTTATTTGTTTTTCAACCAGTAGACGATATTTATATTTATATTTTTTGAAAACATCAAGAAAAAATAGAATTTCTTAGATACAGTCCACTTGTTTAGATAAAAATTTAAGATTACTACCAGCCCGATAGAAAAACAATTGATTGTTGAACTCTTATCAAATCAGGTTCAAAGACTGCAATCTTAATCAAATTTTCTTTTGTTTATTTATACGTTGAAGCCTTTTATTTACTTGTGTACTGAATTGAAAACAAAATGATAGTCTCTGTTCTCTTATTAGTTAAAATTAATTTAATTGGATTTATTGCTCAGCACACAGTTGCGGGGGAGTAACATTGTCATGTAGGATCATGAATCTTGGAAGCAGTGGATTGCTGACGGTCTTTTGATGATGAACTCCATGTCTCAGACTTAACCTCTGAACTCAAATTCCAGACCCAGAACTGCTTTGATGAAGTCAGAATTATAAACTCTCCTGACAAATCTCTGATTCTCTCATCTGACTCAGACTCTGATTTACATTCACTCTTTGACTTTTGATTCCCTCTTCTGTTGATTTAAACTCTAATTCTCACCGACTATCTGATTCCGACACTCACTCTCTCCATCTGACTCAGACTGATTCACACTTACCCTTTTACTCCTACTGTGTCCCCATCTGAATTAGACTCTGATGCTCACCTACAATCTGACTTCAACTCTCTCTCCACCTGGCACAGACTCTTGATTCTCACTCACTCTCTAATTCCAACTCTCATCTGATTCAGATTTTGATTCAACCATTTTCTGAATCAGATTATAATTCTCAGTATATATATTTTGGACACTAACTGTCCATCTAGCTCAGACTCTGATTCTCACTCACTCTCAGACTCTTTGACTCACTGATGTCACTACTGAACTTAAGTGAGTACTCTGAAATCAGGACCGTCAACTCTCTCTCTGACTAACACGAGTTGTGAGCCCTGGATGACATAACCTCTGAGGGCATAGATCTTTGATCTCACCTTGTGAGCCTTGGACGAAGTGTCTGTTCATGAAGCCATAGATGAGCCCATAGACCTTGGATTTGTTTAGATGACAAAAAAGCATTTGATTGTATCAAGTAGGACTATTAGTACCTGGTTCCACCTCATATGAGTCTACCTGTGGCTTTTTTTTTGGACTCCATAGCCTTGATAGTATTTAGTTGTTTTTTGCTCATGAATAGAAACTTGCCCGTTATTAGACCTTTGAATTCTTCCTCTTTGTGGCAGTACCACAAAAATTGAAAAATGGTTTAATGAAGGGGTAAAATATTATTTTATGCTTTCTCTAATAAAGAGAGAGCAAAGCATTGTTTCTGTTTCTAATTCTACATTTATTTATTTACTTGTTCAAGGTGTTTTTATTGTTGCTGCTAAAAGAACCCCATTTGGCACATATGGAGGATATTTTGTTAAAAAAAGCGCTTGTGATCTTCAGGAAGTCGCAGCAAAAGCTGCTCTAGCGTCAGGCAATGTCCCACCAGAAAAGGTGGATTCTGTTGTTATTGGAAACGTTCTTGCGGTAAGTTACGGTTTTGAGAACCAGCCATCACTTGAATATATTTGAAAGACTGAAAATCACTTAGAAAATTTTTTTAAATTCTAGTGTTGATATTGTCGGCTATGTTTGTACGTTTATCTCTTTCAGAATACCTCATCTGATTCGATTTTCATGCCCAGACATGTACTTTTAAGATGTAACATTCCTCTCGAACGACCAGCTTTGGGTATAAATCGACTTTGCGGCTCCGGATTTCAGGCTATTGTGAACGGTGCTCAGGTGCTTTATTTTTACAGATCTTTATGATTTTAAATTTCATTCACTCATAATACAAAATCGTAGAACATTCTTTGCGGAGACTCTCAGGTAGTCCTTACCGGCGGCACTGACAATATGAGCCAATCACCATATGCTGTGAGGAACATTAGATTCGGTGCTCCATTAGGCTCAAAAATTGAATTTGAAGATACCCTCTGGGTAGGATTGACAGATACCTATTGCAATTTGCCGATGGGATTGACTGCAGAAAAATTGGCATCTAAATATAAAATCGAGAGAGCAGAAGTCGACGAATACGCATTTAGATCACAAACATTATGGAAAAAAGGTGGAGTTTTTTAATCTAATATTTTATCAATAAATAGTTATAATTCTAACATACATGTTTGTTTAGCACATGACGGAGGCTTTTTTAAGGAGGAGTTGGCCCCAGTTACTGTGAATATTAAAAAGAAAGATGTCGTGGTTGATACAGATGAACATCCAAAACAGCAATCGACACTGGAGAATTTTAAAAAATTGCCTCCTGTTTTTAAAAAAGACGGAGTTGTAACTGCTGGATCTGCATCAGTTAGTTTCAGTATTAAATACAATTTTTTTCAGTATTCAGTGATTTATATTTTCAGGGTGTGTGCGACGGAGCAGGAGCTGTTGTTTTAGCGAGCGAAGAGGCCGTGAAGGCGAACAATTTCACACCGCTGGCTAGACTCGTAGGTTACTGTGTTGTTGGTGTCGAACCAAGCATTATGGGCATCGGCCCAGCTCCTGCAATCACCCAGTTACTTAAACTCGTGGGAAAATCATTGAAAGACATCGATTTGGTCGAGGTTTGTGTAATTGTTTTTGTCCCAAAAGTACATTTTAGCACATTTAGCTTAGAGGCACTCTGCCTTACTATATACTTATTTTTTCTAGATTAATGAAGCATTTGGAGCACAGACCTTGGCTTGTGCGAAAGAACTCGACCTCGATATGAACAAACTGAACGTCAACGGTGGTGCGATTGCTTTGGGCCACCCTCTCGCTGCTTCCGGCTCACGGATAACAGCCCATTTGGTGCACGAGCTCAGGTACGTGCAATGAAAATTTATAACGAGTCTCATTTTATTGTTTTGATCAATTTTATGTAGAAGGAGAAAAGCTAAATTGGGAATTGGATCTGCCTGCATTGGAGGAGGACAGGGTATAGCTTTGTTGGTTGAAAGTGTATAATTTGACATAAATTTATATTATTATTGAAATCAGTTTAATTCAAATTTATTTTCTCAAATGTATTATCAACGTGTTTAATATTTTTTTTGACATTTAAGTATGTTTATATGTTTATACGTGTCTGAATAAAATATATATTTTTGATATACAACCTCGTTTGTTTTTATTTTCTTCTTTTTCAAGTGAACCAAATTTTTCATTCTTGAGAAGTTGACAATACAGAAAGAAAGCTGAAGTCTGGAAGTTTTGAACTTAAACGCATTTTTTTCTACTCCAAAAACTGAAAATCAATCGACTGATAATTAAATCTTATATTTTATTGAATACAGGAAAATATCAACACCAAATTACAATAATGAATATTATTAACATTACAATTTAAAATTAAATAATCAGAAATCAATTAGAGCCATTCCTTTTTTTCTTAGATCTAAGATAAACCATTTTTACTTGAAACAAGTATTCTTACCTTTAATATACCATAAAATGTATTGATTACTTTTCTTACTTATAAAATTATATATTAATGTAACAATTAATCCAATGCTTGTACATCAAACAAGGCAGAGTTAACATATACACAGTAGGTTACATATCGAGGACTACATCAAAATATTCAACGAATAATAACAGCAAAACAAGCTTAATAATAAATATTTTCCAATTTATTAGGCAGTTGATAACAAAAAAGCACATAGAAAGGGAGACTACAGATGTGGGATTGCAGATTTTAATTATACTTTTTTTTGTCATACTAGATCAAAGTGAGTGAGAATCAGAGAATGAATCAGATGGAGTGATAGTCAGGAGTTTGAGTTGGAGCCAGAGAGTGAGAGAGAATCAGATGGGAGTGAGTCTAGATACTGTGTAAGAACCTCCCAGAACAAATGCAACAAACTAACCCCCCCCCCTTAGAACGATAATAAGGAAAGGATACTATGGATGCACATAAATTGAATATTTGGACATATACAAAAGAAGTTATGTAAAGGCTGAATCAGCTTTATTCATTATTTAACAGAGAGTCAACAAGCTTAATTGCTTAAACCTTACCTAACTGTAATTCTCACTCACTGACTGACTCCACCTCTGACTGACCCCTCACTCTCCAGCTCACTCATACTCTGATTCTCCCCTCTCCCTCTAGCTGACTCAGACTCTGACTCTCCCCTTTCCCACCAGCTGATTCAGTCTCTGATTCTCACTCACTCCAACTTCTCCATTATCTTAGACTCTCAATTCTTGAATTGTGACTCCCTCTCCATCTGACTCAGGCTATAATTAACACACACTCATTCCTTAATACATTATAATATTGTAATCTTATATATGTTGTAATATTGTTATAATACATTTTATGTTAGTAATGGTTCGTTAAATGCTTATATTAGCATTGTGAGGAATATGCAGAAAATGAACTACCTCCTATAAAAAAATACTCAGAGCACAATCATCTTTCTGATTCTCTAACTTCAATTTATCTCCAACTTACTCATATTCTGATTCTCACTCACTTTCTCACTCCAACAGTGACTCTCTGACTCCAACTCTCTTCATCTGACTCAGGCTCTGAGTCACATTCACTCTTTGGCTCGTGGTACCCTTTACAGTTGTTTCAGACTCTGCTTATCCCTGACTTCAACTCTCTGTCTGTCTGTCTCTCTCACTCTCTCTCTCTCTCTCTCTCCCTCCCTCTCTCTAAAACAGGAAGGGAAGAGAAAGAAGAAAAACAGAAATCTGCGTTGTTTCAGGTGTGAATATTTATAGTTTGTAAGAGTATATAATTTTTTTCCCATCATGATGTATATATATATTACATGATGTAAATAAAGCATCAATCTCTCTGCCTCTCTCTCTTTAAAAGAAAGAAAGGTAGAGAAAGAAGAAAAAATAAGCAAAAAAGAGAAATCTGCATTGTTTCAGTTGTGAATACTCTCTCTTTCTCTGATGCTGACTCAGTTTTTCAAGCACTCTCTGATTCCTGACTCAGACACTCACTAACTCACTAGTTCCAACTCAGACTCCTGACTCTCTCCAGCTGACCTAGACTCTGATTCTCACTCACTCTCTGGCTCCAACTCTGGTTCCTAACTCAGACTCTGATTCTTTTTCACAGTCTGGCTTATTCCAGGCTAATCTCAAACAGGATATTAGCAAGTTTCTTAAATTGTTACTCGCAGTATAGATAAAATAATAGACAACTTTATTAATGGGTTGTATAGTAAAATTTAGACTTTACTTACAGAACCAAATTGGTTTATCTTTGAATTTTACTAAACCATAATTATAATAAAAGATGTCAAGCTCAACAAAAAAATAAATAAATAAATAAAAAATGAAATAAATAAATTAGGCAACCCAAATGATTGAGGATGCTAAAACGATGGCACTTCCCCAGGAACAAACTTTATTTATTTTAACCAAACATTTCTCTGTTCTAATACCATCTGCTGAGATATGTTAAATCATACTTACATTAAAACAAGCTGTCAACAATCAAAAATGAAAATGCTGAAAGAATAAATGATATTAATTAAACATCAATGGCAGACAGATATCTCAATCAGAGATCCATTTACATTGAAGACTAACTTACCGATACCATTAAATTAACAAAAGAAAATTGAATCTTACCTACTAAAAATTAGCCCTTGATATAACAATGAATATTTTCAAAGACAACCATGTACACTCAAAAACTTGATGTTTTTGAGTGTACATGGTTGTCTAAGGATCTTGGTATACTGAGTTCTTATCATTAAATAAAAAACGTCTCTACCATTTCAACATAAACCTAAGACCAGACACTCATTGTTTGAGGAAAATCCATCTGAGGTGAAATCCCACCAAGTCAATTTGAAGGAAAAAAGGCATTTCATAAGTTTTCATCCTTATTTAAATGAGCAAAGTAATTATTTATTATGTGTGTTTATCTCTTATGTTAATTTAAGCTGTTTATATTTCATGACTATTTTGTGGGTCATCTGGAGTCCAGGGAAGTAGGCCAAAAAATAATATTTTTGGGGAAAAATTCAAATTTGTTTTAAGCAACATTTAAAGCTCGTAAATATGGATTTTTATGGCAAACAAAAGTTTTGGGCTGGATCAGTTGGGTCGTTTTTCTATGATGTCTGGTGTTTGAGTTAAAGATTAATAATTCCTATGGATTTTATCCAAATTTAACTTTGTTACAATCATAATAAAGTTCAACCGCACTTCTTTAGATTCTGCCAACAAGGCTTAGAGTTTTATGTTACTATGGGTTAGAAAAATAAGGATGAAATCAACAAAACAACCTGAACTGTTTTATTTTATTTCTCCGGTTCTAATTTAGTTAAGTAATCAAAGTTGGTGCCATTAAGTCTTATTATATGGTTCTAAGTTACTACAAAGTTTCATATAGATCATTGGTGTCATTTGAAAATTATCTATTATTTTTTATGATTTTTCAAGAAAAAAAAATCAAAGGCAAAGATTCTAAAAAAAAAATTAATTTTTGATTTTCCAAAAAATTTGTATACCGGATTTTTGGGACATAGAAAATGAATATCAACTTTGTTTCTTGCTGGGGGGAAAAAAGCTTACTCTTCTAAGTTTAAGGAATGTATCTAAGTTGCCCATGCTAGCTGCATGCATCACTGAAAGAAAATTAGATCAAACAACACTTTTCCTAATAATTTGATTGTTAAATATGAATTTTCACAGAAATAAAAAATATTAAATTTTTGGGCTGGATGCGATGTTGTTTCACTAAAGAATATATAACTCAACTGGATTTTATCCAAATTTTATCTTGCTGACTGACACTCTGTTTCTCACACACTCTCTGAGTCCAATACTACTCTATAATTTCTGTCTCTCTCTCTCTTAACTGACTCATAGTGGTTCACATTCACTCTCGGCACCAACTCAGTCGACTGACTCTCTCTCCAGCTGACCTAGACTCTGATTCTCACTCACTAACTGGCTCCAATTTCTGTTGATCCACTTAAAAATGCACAACTCCTCTGGATTTTACCCACATTAAACTTTATAACAACCGCTGAAAATGTGAAAGTATCTATTTCCTACATTACATTTATTTTTTATGTCATTAAGAGCGAAAAATCAACCAAAACTTAGTCAAAATTGCACACTGACAGCCAACCACAGCATTGAAATGCATAATTTGTGCACATTGGCACGAATGATCGGACTGTTTACATCTTTTGAACTAGTATCACAAAAAAAAAAGTTTCATTAAAATTGGTGATTCCACATCGTTAGCATTTACCGCTTAATTAAAAAACTAATTACAAGAGATTATGTCATTTTACAAATGATATGCCTTATATAAAATAACAACAAAGTAAAATTTATTTGGATAAATTTACAATATGTAATGTTTAAAACCTAATAATGTCTAAGACTTTATAAACACTAAAATAACGAAGATATTCACTTGGGAACTAAATTGTAGCAGTCAATCCATTTTTTGTTTTCATCATATGTAGAAAAAATACAAAGGTATATTTAAAAATAAGTGTTATATCTAATATAATGTAAAAATAAAATTTATTTTCATCCCATTTATTTTGAGGAATTGTGAAAAAAAAACCAAATCAAACATTAAACATTTTTTAATTTAGCGTTCTGACTTTTTTTTTAATATAACATTAAATGTGTTCCACATCCAGCAATTTAATTTTGTTTCCCTTTGATATACATTTAGTGATATACATTTTACTCTAATTTCATATTTTGGGAAACTATATTTAAGGTAAGATATAATCTTCTAAACATTCAAGCTTCACATAGTATATATTTTTTTAAATATGATTTTATAATTTTTTTTGCGACAAAATTAGGTTATCTTTAGTATTGGTACCACATCAATTTAAGCTACGACAATATTTTAAGGGATAAACATTAATGTTATACCGTTTAATAGGTTAATTGGAATATTATGTAGTCATTTAATTGTTTTTATTTATAAATATAGAGATATGGTTACTTATGCTAGTTCAACTTGCTGATTCCTTTTCCTTATCTGTAAGCATTACATAAATGATTAATTCGGTTGATAATATATGTCAAAGTAACGCTTTAATCACCTGCTTCAGGTGTGCTTTTGTCTTCACTAGCATCTTCTTCCTTTTTCTTTTCCTCTTTGTCGTTTCCTTTTCCTTTCCCTTTAGCTGGAGTGGTTTGTTTTGGTTTTGGCTCTAATGACGGATCGATGACAATCTTACCGATATTCTTTCGATCGTGCATTTTTTGCATCGCTTCTGGTATCTGAAATTCGTTTTCTATTTAGTTCTACTATTCATTTACTTGATTAAACTTTGTTTCCCCCAAACATTTTTGTTTATTTTTTAAATTTTTTTCACAAATAAAAGTGCACTTACATCCTCAAGAGCCCAGACAGAATCTATGACAGGTTTGATTTTCCCATCGGCCCACAATTTCATCACCTTGTCAAATACTTTATGAACATAGTCGACTCCATTATGTTGGAACATCAAATGCCTCAGATTAAATCCTGATAAAGTTTTGTTTTCATCAAAAAGCTTAATTGGTGAGAACTTGTCCACTTGCCACCACTAGAAGCAAAATTAATTGTAACAAGTATCGTATTAATAATATAAAAGAGTAAAAGTGATTCTTAACATATAACTGGGTCCAACATCCAACTACCCTCTAATCTTAAAGCTACTAATAAAAGAAAATGAAACATAGAAATATAAGTATACAAATTAATATATTTTCTATGTATAGTAATCACTACCTGTCTCCTGATTCCCACTCCATCTGGTCAGACTCTGATTCACACTCAATCTCTGACTCCCGACTCACTCTACAGCTGACACAGACTCTGATTCTCACTCACTCTCTTATTCCAGCTCTTTGATGTCACCGCTGAACTGAACTGGCTACTCTGAACCCAAAATTGCAACGATGAGCCTCAGAGTCATCAACTTTACTGACTTATATCTCTGATTTACTGACACAAACTCTCTTTCTCTCTCTCTCTCTCTCTCCCTCTCTCTCTCTCTCTCTCTCTCTCTCTCTCTCTCTCTCTCTCTCTCTCTCTCTCTCTCTCTCTCTCTCTCTCTCTTTCTCTCTCTCTCACGCAGACTCTGATTCTCTCTGACTCTTTACTCTCTCGTTCACACACCCACACATGCATGCACGCATACGCATACATACATGGTTTCTCACACATTCCCAGACTCCACCTCTTTTTTCTGAATCCGACTCACTCCTATCGGACTCAGACTCTGATTCTCACCTTTTCTCCATCTGATTTAGATTCTGGTTCTCACTCACTCTCTAGCTCCAACTTGGGTTCCTGACTCTCCAACTGACTCAAACTCTAATTTTCACTCACTCACTACTATCTCGCTCAGACTCTGGTTCTCACTCACTCTCTAGCTCCAACTCAGTTTCCTGACCTCTCCAGCTGACTATCTATCTATCTATCTTTCTATTTTTCTATCTATCTATCTCTCTTTCTATTTTTCTATCTATCTACCTGACTAAGATTAAATTCTCACTCACTCTCTGATTCCTGACTTTCTCCGGCTGAATCAGACTCTGATTTTCACTGACTCCAACTTTCTCTCCATCTTAATCAGACTCTGATTCACACTCACCCTCTGATTTGATATGTTATAATGCATCACTAATACAAAATACAGTTCCTAAAATGCAGAAAATAAACAACTGCCCATAAGGGTTTACTGATGGTTGAGATAAAACTTTATGTCTCTCTGCCTTACTCTCTGACACCAATTCTCTTTCCATCTGACACAGACTTTGGTTCTCACTCAATTCCTCACTCCAACTCTGACTTCAACTCTCTCTCTCTCTCTCTATCCAACTCATATTCACACTCACTCTGTGACTCTTGATTCCCTCTCCAGTTGACCCAGACTCTGATTCTCACTCACTCTCTGACTAACACAATGCTCTCTCTCTCTCTCTCTCTCTCTCTCTCTCTTCCCCCTCCCCCCTCACTCTCTCACTTTCTATCTATCTCTGTATCAATCTATACCCAACCCTCTCTTCTTCGTTCTTTCTGCCAGTTTTAAAATACAAAGACCTACATGTTTCAACATAAAATACTTACATAGCGAGCAGTGCTAAAAATGCTTTTGGTTTCACCAGTGACGACATTAGCTGATCCTGTAATTTAAACCAAGTGTCATCAACTTGAAACAGACAATTATGGCTTTAGTGGAAAAATTCTTCAATGTTTGAAATTACCATATAAAATGTATTTTCCCATTGCCTTTAGGAGGGAATAACCTTTGTTGCAATCTTCTCCACAAAGGCAATCCAAGACTAAATCAATGCCATCGGGATATAACCTAAATAGCAAGATAAATGTATGGAATATCAAAGAACAACTTATTATTACAGTTATTTGTAGTAAATTTGTTGACATTGTTATAGTTGATTTTATGAGTTTAAGTCTATTTGTAACATATTTTTCAATCGTTTAACAATTTCAGGTTGTAAATTTTATAATGATTGAATTCTAAAAAGGAATCAAATACATCTACAGGAAAAGCGTGTTTCTATTGAAAGCTTGAAAGAATAAAAAATGCATTTTTGTATATTACAACTTTAAAATTTATATCAATTTAACTTGTCTCAAAGCAATACAATATTAAAGCTGAAAATATTCCAGTGTTTTTCTTTTACAGTAATATATAATTTTTATATTTGTTCTTATTAATTATAGAAAAACTAGAAATAAAAACATGCTCTATGCATATACATTTCTTATCTTACTTATAGTTTATAATACTGTTTTTTTTAAATTATTTTTGGACAGTTCATAAACTAACCATTCAATTCTTATTATTTTGTGTATATATATAAATAATTAAGGCATTGTCTGGGTGATATTTTAATCAAAATGAAACACTCAAATTGTCTTTTTATATAAACATATTCCAATTGATAAATAATTGTATCCAAAATGTGCAGATTTTCTAAAAGTTGTAAACAAATGGGAATTGTACTTGAGCAGGGCGGCAAGTTGTTGGGTCCTCTGTTCCTACTCTTGCAGGAAACATGACTGTTTTATTGTATATAGTAATGATGGTTTTGTGCCCCTAGTTAAGAGTGAATGTGTTTATTAGCGTGAATGTGTAGTGTGAGAGGACCAATGGCATTATATTGAGTAAACCATAGATCCATAGATAGGGATGGTAAGGGGATCGATTAGATAAGTTATACAATACAGGTAAAGGGTTATGAAAGAATATCCAGTACTCTAAACTGAATGAATGGTGTGTAAACAGGAAAGCGTGGAGTGAGAGTGTGAACGAACTTGGTTTTAGGAACTGATTGGCATTTGGTGTTGAAACAACCTAGCTATATCTAGCTAACCTAGCTACTTCGGTGGCTGGATGGATTAGACCATGGTCTGACCCCAGCCTAGGGAGTGTCAACACTCAATGTGGGTGATTCTCAAGGGCTACCATCAATTCATTGTAAAGTACAAAAGGTGGAATTGTTTACTGCAAGAAGTGATAGGCTAGGTTAACAAGTTTAATAGTGAAATCCTCCTGTCTGCGGGGTGATGAATCTGTAATTTGATCCTTACCACAGTGGTGATGGGCAAGGATTGTAAGGATTACAAGTTTGATTATTTTATTATTAACCAACACCTTAATTATTTGATTAAATTCCTGATTGTTAGTACTCATCATGATCCATATCTTATTTCTAAAAATAACTATCATTTATACAAAAATAATCTCTACTAATGCTTTCTGTACTTTAAAGAATTAATATGTAGCAATTTGTCAATAGTCTATTTTGTAGTATGTATTTTTCTTTTAATGTTCAATTTTTTTGTATTTTGTTGTTTTTATCTGATAGTAACGTGCAGTTATATAAACATACTTGCGGATTTCATTAGTATAGTCTGACCCGCGCTCTAGCAAATGGTCAACACTAGAAGCAAGTGATTCGTGCTTATGTTTTGATGCTATTCCAAGCACTTTTACATCTTCTAATGTACGGCATAACTGTACTACTGCATGCCCCTACAAAACAATTTTAGTAATATGTCAAAATGCCTTGTTAGGTGATTTTTTTTCTTTTTTTGTATAAAATTACATGCCAACTATATCATGAGTGTTTTATACTATAAATTATAAAACCTGTAAATGGATTGTTTTGCTCTTTCTTACCACGCCGCCCCCAGCTGAGTGAAGGAGTACAGATTTTCCTGGTGAAAGGCCACCAATTTCGAACAAGAGGACATATGCCACTAAGTAGTTCATGGCTATTGCCGCAGCATCTTGAAAATTCATGTTGGATGGGATGGCGAAAACGTACTGTTCTGGAACTGCAACAACTTCAGCCCAACCTTTGTATTCTGGCAGTGCGACAACTCTGTCTCCGACCTAATGCATAGATGAAATTTATTTATTCACAGGGAATAGCCCATTTTATTTCAATAAATACAAGAAAGTCAAAGAGCATTTAAAACATGAAAAACATTGAAATAATAAACAGTGACAATAATAAAATAATTTAAAAAAATACATACAGTATAATTTAGATACCAATAATAAATACAAAAAAAATATCTGGGATTTGACTAGTAAATAAAACCATAGCATATATACACAACAACAACCAACCAGCACATCGGTTATACATACATATATACATACACACACACATACACATTTTCCAGGTGTACTATTGGACCATGGTTTTACAGGTTCCTCTTCTTAATTTCGTCTTCAAAACAGCTATAGATGTATTATTATTGTCTGTACTGTTGGGTAGCATATTGACCAGATCAATCCTATATATGGGAGAGCGAGAAGTGTAGTTAATTGAAAGTATTTATTATTAGTAAAAAAGTAAGTTAGTAAGAAAAAACTCCAAATGACCTCGGTTCAGGAATGGGTAAATTAAAAAAGGGGCTGACCTGATAACCTGCGAGAACCAAAGTGACAAGGAAGGGCTCATGGAAACGGTACCTACTATCCACCTGTGAGAAGGAGCAGACCTCATGGTAGACCCCTATAGAGAAATTACTAAAACCACTAGAGTGGTCATGTGGGTGCTGGATACTGAACTTCTGGTCACTTCAGACACTGCCACAATTCTTGGGAAATCCCAAAACCTACGTATTAATACTGGGCAATAGAGGGTCATCAGGTAGAGAGTAGAAAGCATACATCTAAAACTTGTGATAGACATAGATGATGCATCCTTTGGGGCTTTAAACAAAGCCAACACAAAACTTTATTTTGGCTTTGCTACGATGACCCTAAGAATCATTGAAAAAGCAATTAAGATTGATGCTGAGGATGCTTTAAGCAAACCTCAAGCATATAAAGCTGCAACAATTACGATTTGTCGTGTGGCCAAGGAAAACAACATAGATATAGCCTTTATTCAGGAACCCTGGTCAGTAAAAGGTAGGCTTGGAGATAGGGGAAGAAAAAGCATATAGGATCTCTGTTCCAGGGGCCAAACACTGAATTGGGCAGTGTCTGGGGGATATGAAGCTCAGACCATGGACACATATACATGGAAATCACACAAGTGGACAAAACATGTAATGTGGGTCGAAACCCTGAAGCAGAAACGGCGAAATACGGTGAGTTACTGGGGGAAAATACACTAACTATAATGGCTAACATTAAAAGCATCCACAATATTTAGCTAACTTCTATACAAATACATGACACTATAATAAACTCATAATAGAATAGAAGCCTGCCCACAAACCACCTACACCAACAGAGAGAATCTGCTGGTGGAACAACAAACAGGCAGCACTAAGAAAGAAAACTCGCGAACTTTGTAATTCAACTAGAAAAACGGGGAATACAGTAAAACCCTAACATAATACAGTGACGAGATGAAAATCAGCAAAACAAGAATCGTAGATGAAATATTGAAAAGAAGTTGGAAACATCACTGATGCAAGTAGACTTCACAAACGCCTTGTAAAGACCCTATAAATCCAATTGGAACTCTAAAAAAACCTGATGGAACACACACACATACACACACACACCAGAAAGGAAACATTAGAAATGCTAATAAGTAGACACTTTCCAGAATGGGCCATTGACAACCACATTCAAATCTCCAAGAACAGATGGGATATACCCAGTACTACTACAAAAGGGAAAAATAACACTAATTCCTCCATTTGTAAAATATCCATAAGCTGGATGGCAATGGGATACATCAAAAGCATATGGAGAACTGTAAAAGTAGTCTTTATTCCAAAGGCTGCATGGAAAACTACACAGATGCAAAATCATACAGACCATTCAGACTGACATCCTTTCTACTCAAAAGATTTGAAAGGCTAGTTGAAAAACATGTAAGGGGTAGCTCTCTAAAAGAAAAACCCCTTCATAAATATCAACATGCCTATCAGAAAGGAAAATGCTGTGAATCAGCACTACACTAAAAACGGTACAAATAGAGAATTCACTGAATAACCAAGAAATAGCATTAGGGACTGTGGTGGTTACCTGCAGTTACCACGGGACCCGCTAGGTGTCACTACAGTACGGGAATGGGCTCGCCCTCCACTCTGCAAACAGTCAGAGAAGAACCATTTCATATATAAGCAGGGGAACTGCCCCACTGGCTTCAGACTCATCTACTTGACGAGTTCTCAACAATCCTTAACGGAGCACCGACAACGACAGCAAGGGTACTCGCTGCATTATCCCCGAACTCGCCTTCTCAACACAGCCGACTTGGCTAGTGGTCAAGTGTTACACTCGGTTACCTGCTGCACCAACGTCCCTTAACCGCTGCAGAGTCAACCGACTCTCACGGCTCCGGACGTCAGCCAAAGGCTCTCTCGGTCACGGACCACAACAACACCGGCCCTACTCAGGGCTACCAAAACTCCCAGTCACTAAAGGAACCTTCTTGGACATTTGATAGCATTCCTATTGAAACAATGATAACATGACTGAATCAGTGAGGAACAGATAAAACCTGCTGTAGATGGATAGAATCAATTCTAAAAAGAAGAAAAGTGCAGGTCTCCAAGTTCCACGAAAAGGTAGAACGAGAGGATGTCCGCAAGGAGGAATATTCTCACCACCGTCATGGAATGTGGTAGTGGTTGACCTAATATGCAAAACTAAATGAAAGCGGAACCCAAGGCTATGCAGATGACATTGTCATACTAGTCAGGATAAAAATTAAAATTAAATAAATAAACTAAAAGAACTGACAACTCTCACCTTAAACTTTTCGCATCCTTCTCCAACTTGCTCGACTTCCCCAGCACATTCGAAACCCATTATGAAAGGAGTCTTCATGGGGGCATCCAAAGCCCCTTGCCGAGCGAGAAGATCTTGGAAATTCAGCCCACTGAAAGAAAACATAACGCTGTCAATATAGACGTAATTTTTTGTAACATAATTACAATTAATATTTATTATTGGGGTCGCCGGTGGCCGCAACGGTTAATGCGACATTGTGAGGTAAAGGTCTCGGGTTCGAATCCAATGGCCCTGCATTCGAACCCGACATGCTCACAGATGGGATTTTTTCTAAAACACCGGCACTCCCGAGCGTTCATATAACGTTGTAGTTAAATACCTTTGTTAATTAAAGAAAAAAATTACATTTATTATTAGAACATTATCCCGTGCTAATGTTTTTCCTCTTTTAAGATTTTTTACGGCACAAGCAACATGTATTTTAGCATGAAATACCTAGATGTAACTTTACTAATGAGTTTTGTTGCTCATATTTCGGGTAATAATTTGCAAAAAATGCGTTTGAACGAGAAAAAGACGCCCCTCAGGTCTGGAATGAGGTAAACTCCCGCCAATAAGTACGCAGAAGTTATTTTGACGTACATATACCTCTGACGTCAAGGGAGTCAAAGCAGTTATACATCAAGGGAGTGTTACAAGCCCATTCTTTTATCTGTTAACCTCGTTTAGACAAGGAGGACAGTGAGGACTGCTTGTTGAGGAAAAGAACGAAACCTGAGGAGAATGACTGCCACGTCAGTTGAGTGTCCACTAGCTAAGTTGCGTAACAATTGTGATGCTGCCCAGGTCCTGGTGTGCGAGTAACTGGATCCTGTCCTGATCTGACTCCTTATAGAGCTTATCTCGCAGCTTTCTGGTCCTGGGCTTGTTAATATGTCTTCGGCCTACTCCAAAATGCCATGCGGCAGGTTGGGCGGTTTGCCCTTCCAGAAAGATGAAATTTAAACTAGAGATGAAAAGCTGCATGCGGTGACCACCTGCAGTTACCACGGTACGCACTAGGTGCCACCAACATTCAGGAATGGCCTCGTTCTCCACTCTGCCAATCAAAGTGGAGCAATTCCGTACATAAGTAGGGGGACTGCCCCGCTGACTTCAGACTCGTCTCCCCAACGAGGTCTCAGTTTTACTAATACAACAAAGGAGTCTCTACCAGACGAAACTTCACTATCTCGTATCTACCTGGACAAGCGAACTACATCAGCAGAACAGCATCAGCCTCGCTCTCATTTCTCACAAGCCGACTTGGCTACCGGCCACCTGCTGCCCATGGCCACAGACCTCAGCCAACGGCACACACGGTTCCGGCCTCGTCTATCGGTTCTACAACAACATTAAAACTCCCAGTCACTAAACTGCCGATTGGAAGGTCCGGGATGTTTTCTTTTTTTAACATTGCGTGTGTATGTAGAGACCCGTCAATAAAGAACGAAGAGGAGCTTCACGTCGGCCAGTTCTTTAGTAGCCGGATGGGTTGGCCCTGGAAAGGGCCGTTGAAAGTTGACGTTCTAAATAGAATCGTCGAGGAGTGATCGCAGTTGAACAGAGAAAATCTTACAAGGTGCTGGAGAAAGGCCCGGTCACTAAATATTAATTTATTACAACCGGCGAATGATTTTGGACAAAGGCGTAGGAAAAAATTTCAGGCGAAGTTAACGAACAAAAACTGCTTGTGTAAAAATCGGAAAATCGAGGACACTGACTTTTGTTTGAATACGGGGGAAAGGTAATTGAATTATGTAGAAGGTGGCGCAGAAAATGGTGCACGCTAATAGAAAGGCATTGTCAACGGCGACAAAAGAAGAAATGGTTTTTTTAAAAGAGTCCGTTCATGACTCATGTTTGTACGAAGTCTTCCCTTTTGATTAATGTCCACTTAACTTGAGCTCTTCTTTATTTGCAAATATAAGAATCACTGAATAATAAGATTCTTTAAGGAAAAACATCTTACATCTCTCTCTCTCTCTCTCTCATTCACTCAGCTCTCATTCTCACTCACTCTCTGACTCTCCGACTTCTGTGACTGACAACACTCTCTTCTCAACTCTCCCTCTTTCTCATTCACTCAGATTTCATTCTCACTCACTCTCTGACTCCTGTGGCTGGCAACACTCTCTTCTCTCTCCTCTCTCTCTCTCAATCCCTCTCACTCACTTTTTTAATCCTGTGTCTGCCTGACACTCTTCCTTCTCTCTCTCTCTCTCTCTCTCTCTCTCTCTCTCTCTCTCTCTCATTCTCACTCACTCGCTGACTCTCGGCCTTCTGTGGCTGACAACACTCTCTCCTCTACTCACCCTCTTTCTCATTCACCCAGCTCTCATTCTCACTCACTCTCACTCACTCTCTGACTCCTGTGACTGACAACACACTTTTCTCTTCTCTCCTCTCTCTCTCTCTCTCACTCCCTCTCACTCACTCAGCTGTCATTCTCCCACTCTCTGACTCATGTGACTGACTGACACTCTTCATTCTCTCTCTCTCTCCCTCACCCTCTCTTTCTCCCTCTCTGATATAGTCTCTGATTTTCACTCTTTTTTCACTCTGTATCGGTCTGTCTCTCACTCTTTCTCTTTCTTTCTCTCGCTCTCTGACTCAGAGTCTGATTTTCACTTACTCTTCAACTCATATCTCTCTCTCTCTCTCTATCTCTATCTCTATCTCTATCTCTATCTCTATCTATCTATCTATCTCTCTGACTCAGACTCTGATTCTCACTCACACCCTCTCTCTAAACACCAATAATATTCGTACGTGCTGCAAATTTTAATTGGAAAAACGGCCAAAAGCTTCGGCATGTCGAACCTCGACTTGAAGTACCGCATCAACCCACGTACATGTCAACGACTGTAAGAAGCAAATCGCCTTCATCGCCTATAAAACATCCTGCAATATCCGTAAGTACACTTTTCATTTGAAGTGGACAGATTTTCCTCGAGAAAAATATCTACAATATAAAAAACGTAACTTCTTAGAGCCCTGGGGGTGTAATATCTGCACGCCTAGTCACGCAGAACGTGAGATAAATATGACTGGTCAAGGAGGAGCTGAAAAGCTTCAAAAAAGAAATTCATCAAGAACTCAACAAATTAGCCGACATATCGAGCAAAAAAATACATCAGAAATTTTGTAAATCAAATGTGACCTGAACAACTTAACTAATACACTGATGGACAAATTTAACACACCATTCAATTTATTTAGTTTAAAATTAAATCCCTTCTCTTTCTAGATTAATTACAGATAATTAGGAGCTATCTTAGTCAAAATAAACAGTAACTAATGCTTTGTTAGCTTCCTTTATTTACTTGTGTATTGATTAATCCCATTTGCACAATAAGTAGCATTATGTCCTTCCATTCTGCTACACCTAAAGATCGCTTTCAATTAATCTTTTTCCTTCGTTGATTTCATTTGATATTATTCTTATTCTTAAACCTTTGTTCAATGGCTCCAGTCAGGCATTTGAGCGGGTATGACAGTGCCAGGGCCGTAACATTATTCGGGGAAGGATACAGTCAGCGAAGTCGCCAGGAGACTGAATGTACATCACTACATCCCTCTACAACTGGAAGGGTTCTTCGGCGCTTCAAAGAAACAGGGCTTCACACTAGAAGGCCAGGACAGGTTCGGTCTAAGTCTATCGACGAGAGAGTCGATAGATGCATCCATCATTAGGCTTTACGAAACTGTAGCATTCGGGAAAAAAAGAAAACTGATTTGACAAGTAAGTCCGAAATGTTTCTATTTCCTCCAGGACTGTAGAATGAAAATAACCTTAGTGCCCGGCACCCGGCTCAGGGATTCTTATCACAGCTCAGAAAATGGCCAGGCTTCAATTCGCACGCGAACATGTGAATTGGTCATTGGAAGATTGGGGAAGAGTTCCAGTTGAGGTGAGAGTCGGGTTTAAATCTTCTGATGGGAGTAATTTCAACGGAGACGCAGTATGGTTCCTCAGGTGGTATTCAACGCTGGGTCATTGATGTTCTTGGGTGGCAGTTCTTTGGACGCCCGCACCGAATAGGGTTGTTGTTCAGGAAGATCTCTAAGTTCTAACTTCAGAGCGGTACATACAAGGCATAAACGAAGACCATTGTGCCATTTGCTCCCCACGCCGGGGAGACGTTTCTGCTAATGTAGGAGAATGCTAGGCCCCAAAGAGCACGTATTGTGTATGACTACTTAAATGAAGTTGGAATTGAGTGCTTTAATCATGATGACAACATTAATCTCTGAGCAATTAAGTAAAAGTAACAGTGCAAAAGACTCTCATGTTCAATTCAATTACATAGAACAAATGCAACTCGACAATTCTATTGAGATTCACGGAATACCCGTTGAGAACAATGATGATTTAGCATCGCTCATATTAAAAGTGTGTAATCTATGGGGACCGCGGTAGCCGAGTGGTTAGCATGAGAGACTCTCACGCCGCGGTCGTGGGTTCGATTCCCACCGTCGCCTCTGGCCCTTTTTTCCCGATAACCCCCAATATGAACAACATATATAAGAATTCGTCATGGCTAATATGCAAAGATCATAAGGGAAAAAAAAGTGTGTAATCTGCTCAGGTGTAATTGATTAGAACTCAATTAGTAACTTCATTCAATTTCGTGGTCCGATTGACCAAATAACTCCTTTCAATTAATTAATCTTTATGTAGGGTATTGGTTGAGATAAAAAAGCCAGTGTCACGAGGGGGATTCGAACCCACGACCTAAATACGCCGCTGCTCTACCACTTGATCTATCGTGTCTTCGATCCACGCGGATCGTGGTGTGGGTTCGAATCCCGCTCGTGACACTGGCTTTTTTATCTCAACCAATACCCTACAACCCTACATAAAGATTAATTAATTGAAAGAAACTGTTTGGTCAATCGGACCACGAAATCGAATGAAGTTACTAATTGAGTTCTAGGTGGTCGGTTTTTTTGTTGAGCAGTATAATTAAAAACAACAATAATAAACGTCAGAAGTAATTAATATATGTCACTTCAATGTACAAGACTTAACTGTCCATTGGATATGAATTTGATCAATATTTTAATGTTGGTACTTATCATGTCATATCAGAAACATTTTTAATA